CATATAATCTTCTGCAAGTTGCTTTTTTCACTCAACACTGTGTGTTAAGGATTCACTCCTGTTGTTTGATGTCACTGTAGGTCAGTCTCTTCATTTGAATAAAGACAACACGATCCATCCTCTTTTCCTGATAATGTTTATTTGGGTTGTTTTCACTTTGGTGTTGTAGAAATGGTGCTCTGGGCGCTCTGAGGCATGCCTCTCCGCGCACCTGCTGCCAGAACAGCCACTCGCTGCTGCTGGCAACGACCAGGCCCCGCAATGCACGTCCTTCTCCTCTCAACTGTCCTCCTTTTTTAATTTAATTGTTTTTTCCGGTTGTTATTGAGAATATACACAGCAGAATGTACGCCAATTCCACAATCTCTACACGTACAGTTCAGTGACATTGATTACATTCTTCGGGTTGTGCGGCCGTTCTCACCCTCCTTTTCCAAATTGTTCTTCCCCCGTTAACATAAATTCACCACCTCCTAACTTTCCTGTCTAACCTTTCAAGTCACTGTTGTCCATTTGATCCCATATAGATAGTTCTTAAAAGCACAATGCTCAAGGCAGACAGTCTTCACTAGTTAAGCTAAACTATTGTTTGGTTTAAAAGAAGACTTCAGGGGACATTTTTGGTTTAAGGTTTAGAGATTACCTCAGGGTAATAGTTTCAGGGGTTTGTCCAGCAGCCATGGTCCCAGAAAGTCTGGATTCCATGAGAATTTGAAATTCCATTCTTCATTTTCCCCTTTTCGATAAGGATTCTTCTATAGGGTCTTTGATCAAAATGTTCAGTAATGATAGCTGGGCACCATCCAGTTCTTCTGGTTTCATGGCAAAAGATGCAGTTGTTCATGGAGGCAGTTAGCCACACATTCCATTTCTTCTTATTCCTGACTCTCCTTCCTCTGTTGCTCTAGGCAAATAGAGTCTAGTCATGCTTCTTTGCTTTAGTTTATAAAGGTGGACCTCCTAACCAGCACTGCCAGCCAAACACAGTGCGGTGTTCGGTCTGTGCCAATAGTGTCAGCCGAATTGGTTCATCCTTGGCTTGTCTTGAGTGTGTACTGTTGTTACCAGGTTCAGAGAAGCTATATGGCTGAGAGTAGGCTTTGGTATCAGATCTGAGTCCGAATCTTGCCTCTGCCTTTTGTAATCTGTGTCATCTTGGGCATGTTCACATCGGTTTTTCATTTATGAATGAGAATAGTAATATTCATCTTCTTGAATATTGATCTTGGATTTTTGAAATGCTTAGCACAATTCTTATTACGTATTAAGTACCAAACACATGTCAGTTTTTATTGTCTCCCCTTCCCCACTAGATTTTTATCTCCTCGCTGCTTTCAGGTATGGAACTATTCTGGTTTTGAAAGTGCTAATTCTGAACAGCCAAAGTTTTACCTTGTTTTCTTTGATTGGAGTCTACAGAGCGGCATGTTCATCTCTAATGGAGGTTTATATATATATTTTTCTCCCTTCTTTGGCTTGATAAAATTGTTAACAAAGCCCTGAGCTGATGAAGTGAAGTTTCTGAAATCTCATGTGCTTTTTGGTCTCTATTCTGGAAAACATCAAGTGCTATAAAGTGATGTGGTGAGGTGTAATCTGATTGGATTTGTGCCCCACAGTCCACTTAAGCAACAGCCTCAGCCACAGATAATAGCGTGTCGGTATGGAATGGACCATAAAAACCCCAGCTCTGGACGTGCGTTGGCAGCAGCACACAAAAGGCAGCACAAAACAGATATGTCCTGGAAAAGATAAGTGTGGGAAGGGGAACGGCCTTATCGTCCAAACAACTGGGAAATGTGTGAGTAGAAGCAGGAAACGGGGCAGAATCGCAGGGCTGTTTTGCAGGAGCTGGCAGAAGCCTCTCGGGAGACCTGAAGGGGTAGCCAGCAGCAACGGGATTGGGGAGAGGCTGTGGCACTTCTTAAGGCGGGGTGGGCAGTGGCTGCAGCAGGGCACCCCCTTTGATAAATGTCAGTTCGGGGTGTATTTTCATAAGGTCTCTGTATTTGGGCCTTGGAAGAACCAGAGTTGCCCTGGTAACCTGACTGAGCATCTTGATATTACACCTGAGCTGGTCAGTGCCTGCTGATTAGATTCTTGATGGGCTCAGTCTTGCTGTGTGCAAGGACCTCCATGCTGGGATTGCAGAGGTTTCCCTGGTCCAGTGGGTGTGCATATCCCAGGGAACATGAAAGTGATTTTATCCCCTCATCAGCGACACAATTCTTGAATGGAAGGTAGCTTTCATCTCTGAGACCTGGGGTCCCCTGGTGGCAACCATTTCTCTGATTCTCCATGTGCTCCCTGGATTGTTTTTGTTATGTGCTTTAGGGTCGATTCCAACTCATAGCGGCCCCACAGGGCAGAGTAGAACTGCCCCGTAGGGTTTCCAAGGCTGTAATCTTTACGGAAGCAGACTGCCACATCTTTCTCTCGTGGAGCAGCTGATGGGTTTGAACTACTGACCTTTCAGTTAGCACCAAGTGCTTAACCACTGCGCCACCAGGGCTCCTTCCAAGGGAATAGGATGTGTGTTTATTCAGAAGGCACAAGTGAAAAAAATAGTCTAATTTAGCATTCTGACATCCCTAGGTTCCTGCTGAACTGCTTGTGGTAATTTATTTTCACCGAAAATAGATACACACCCCCCCAGTATCACTGATCTATGTGTCAACCACCTAGTAAATCAGATCTATACCCTTCCTTCCCAGAGCGGACTGTCTAGTAGGGAGACAAGAAAATAATCTAAATACATGGAATGCAAGGCAAAAACTAGCAAGTGCTGTGAGAAGTGTAGCTACAGTGAGATGGGCATTCAAGAGGGTTCTTCAAAGAAGACTTCTTGGAGGAAGTGATACTGGAGCTGAGTCTTTAAAGAGATTCTGAAAGGCAGAGGGAGGTGGGACCGAGAGGGAAGGACACACCAGGCAGAAGCTGCTGCAGGGATAGTGTCTGAGAGGCTCCAGCTGAGAGCCTGGAAGCAGAGAGCAGTTGGCTGGCTATTGCAAACCACTCTGGCAGGAAGCCTAAATTAGGGTGGTGAAGAAAGGATGTTACAGAACTAACTTTCCAGTTGTGAGGGACAAGGACGAGGAAGAGAAGTCAAAATTGCTTCCAGGTCCTGAGCTTCGATGCTTGGGAGGCGTGTGGTGCCATTCGCAAGGACAGGGACTAAAGGAAGAGGCGTAGAAGGAATGTGAAGTGCAGGTCTGAACTCAGATAAGGGTGGGAGGTAAAGGTTTGGGGGTCGTTTACCTAGAATCAAAAAAATGAGACGAGCTTGCCAAGAAAGAATGGAGAATGCAAGGTTGCATTCTTGGGAATCAGCCTGTGGGAAGAGAGAGAGAAAAGCCAGAGAAGTTTGTCACAGGAAAGGTGGCCTTGGGGAAGAAAGCAGGAGCGTGTCAAGTCTTTAAACTACAGGCAGAAGAGAATTGTAAGGAGGCAGGCAGGGAGGGGCAGAGCGGGGTCAAGAGAAGTGAGGGCTAGGAGGAGACCATTGAATGTGGTCACTATGGGTCATAGGGAGCCCTGGTGGCGCCATGGTTACGAGCTCGGCTGCTAACCAAAAGGTTGGCAGTTCAAATGCACCAGCTGCTTTTTGGAAACCCTATGGGGTCACTATGAGTTGGAATTGACTTGATGGCAACAGGTTTTATGGGTCATATTATAAATTGGAATCGACTTGATGGCAGTGGGTTTGGTTGTTTTAGTTGTATGACCTTGGAGGGGGCAGTCTTAGTAGAAAACAAAAAACCAAACCCTCTGCAGTTGAGTTGATTCCGACTCATGGCAACCTCATGTGCTACAGTGTAGAGCTTCCCCATAGAGTTTTCTTGGCTGTAATCTTCACAGAAGCAGATTGCCGGGCCTTTCTTCTGCGGTACCACTGGGTGGGTTTGAACTTCCAACCTTTAGGTTAGTAGTTGAGTGCAAACCATTTGCACTGCCCAGGGAGCTTCAACTTCTTCAGACATAATTTTCAAATTGAGATTATGCTTCCAAAAAGCTTGGTGGTAAAGCTTGGGGGGCAGCATTGAGAGGGTCCCCCCCAACCCAGAAGACTCTTGTGCCCTGAGGGAAAGGACATAGATTCAAGTAAAAGGAAGAAAATGTCAGAAAGAGAAGATAATTGATGGAGTAAGGACTTGGAGCAGGCTAGTGGGAGATAGTTCATTCCCTGTGAAGTAGCTTTGGGTGGAGAAGGCATGGATGGCAGAGGACAGTGGGGTGGAGAGGAAGCCGAGGTTTAAGTCTCCTAGCCAAGTGTGAAGTCTGCAGAGTGGGCAAGTCCTGAGCTTAGGAGAGCTGAGCAGGTCTGGGACAAGTGGTATGTCGAATACAACAGAGATGTTGAATTAAGAGGAATTTCTGAGCCTCTGGCAGGACACAGTTGGCTTTAGGTACATGATTTGTAGTGGAACTTGTAGTCCCAGTTTTGTGGCTTTCCCTGTGAACTCTTGGCAGTGGAGGACGAAAAAGTGTGAGCATTGTGCTCTGCTCAGATAGGCAGGTGTGATGGAAAGAAGAAGGAGCAAAGTCATCCCGAGTACTGGGAATATAGATGAGGGCTTGACCACACATAGGGTTCGAGGTGGGTAGGAAGCAGGGAGATCAACAAATTGGAATGTCCTCGATGAAGTAATAGCACACAAATGTCAATAACAAGGACAACGGGCTATTCCACAGAAATGCAATGAGGTAGAAAAACAAACACGTCCCCTCAAAGCCATGAAAGTTAATCCAGTTTTCCTTTTCTCCCTCAGATTAATCAAATCTCAGAAAAGCTAAGACAGACAGACCAAGAAGAATGATGGCCTCTGAGAACTGAAGGGAGAGAGGAAGAGATGGCTGGAGTGGGTTTTGTAGCGTGAGGAAGAGGGTGGAAGGACAGGAGAGGGTGTTACTGTGTGGACGGCTGAGCTGGAGCGGAGATGCAGGCCCTCTTGGCAGAGGTGTTTAGTGTTCACCTCTCTGTCCATTTTTCCTTTCTTTAGGAACTCTTACAGGCCAAACAGGATCTGCAAGATCTACTAATCGCCAAAGAAGAGCAAGAAGACCTCTTGAAAAAGCGGGAGCGTGAACTCACTGCGCTGAAAGGCGCTTTGAAAGAGGAAGTGTCCAGCCACGACCAGGAGATGGACAAGCTGAAGGAGCAGTACGATGCCGAGCTGCAGGCCTTGAGGGAGAGCGTGGAAGAGGCCACCAAGGTGAGTCGCCTGAAGGGGCCAGATGGGACCATAGGGACATGAACAGATGAGACCACCTCTCCCCACCAATGCAGACCTTTTTCCTTCCTTTAATTAGAGTGAAACTTGGTTTCATTAGATTACGGGAACCAGAGTTTGCCAACAAAGAATAAGCTCAGTGGTTCTGCCGCTGAGCTTTTTAAGTTTATTAACTTAAAAAATCATTCAGGATATTGATTAAAGGCCTCCAGCACTACCATGAACTGCTGCCATCAAGTCGGTTCCAATTCATAGCGACCCTATAGGACGGAGTAGAGCTGCCCCACAGGGTTTCCAAGGAGCAGCTGGTGGATTTGAACTGCCAACCTTTTGGTTAGCAGCCGAGCTCTTAACCACTGCGCCACCAGGGCTCCAGTACTACATGAAGTGGGATTTAAAGGACCACAGATGAACTCTTGAATTTCTGTAGCCCAGTGCACATGGAGAGCTGTACTGTCCTGGGTGGTCCTGCAGGCCCAAGGCCTAGGGCATTGTGGGACTGTTAATGGGGCTGCATTGCAGAGGGGACACAGAGTTGTGAACTCTTTCACCCTTGCCCTAGCCGGCTGCTTATGACTTGTGCAGTCTTTTGTTAGACAATTCAGGTTCCTTTTTCAGCAACGTTACAAGAAGGTTAATTGGCTGAATTGTCAAAATCCTTCCAAAATAGTTTTTCTCTTAATTGAATTCTTGGCTCCTACAAATAGGTTCTAAATTACGTTGAAGTCTTTCAGTGCAGACCCCACGCTGGCTCTTGAGGAAGAGAAAAGCAATGTTTTGAAGAGGAAAATGCTTTGAAATTTCACACTATCTTTAGAGAAAGAGGGCAATTATGAAGTATAAATTTGTTCGATTCTCTGCAATATATAAAGATGATGAAGCTAGAGAACGCTTGGTATTTGTTTATTCTGTGATCATTGTGGTGACAGCTCAGAGCTAGCAGGCCCTGTCTCCCCTAAATTCCGTGGTGATTCACTGATTTTCAACTATGGCATGGCAATTGCAAATGACAAGAAATGAAAGATGGGTTTGTTTGTAGCAACAATAAAAAGTCCGGGGAATAGTCTTCTGTGACTTATTATAACTTTGAGACAGCTTGGAAGAAAAAAAAAAAAGCCACTCCTTTATTTGCCTGTGTTAGCCTTTTTTGTGGTTCGATTTAATCTGAGGGAGAAAAGGGAAATGGATTTAATTTTCATGGCTTTGAGGAGACTTGCCTGTTATTCCCACCTTGGTTCGTTCTATGCAGTAACCTGTTGTCCTTGTTATTGACCTTTGTGTGCTGTTCTTCACTGGGGACATCCTGGCAGACTGCTCAGTAAAATAATTCCCCTTTGACCCATCATTTCTTTACCACCACAGACCTTGGATCAAAGCTTGAGTTAATGTGGTATGTTCTGGGTGGCTGATTCACAGATTCTTGATGATGGTGTTTGGACATGTATTTGTAGTGATTTGATTCTGAGGGAAATCAATATTATGCCACACTTGAGACCCCTGGTATTTCGTTGGTCCTCTACTGACACAGATACATGGGTGGGCAAAGGAAACGGGGTAGGCAGAAGAGGATTCCTTTCTTGAGTGAAATTGAGATAATGTTGAGGGACTTAGGCTATTGATTTTGACCTTTTTGAAGGTCTACATTGCGTGTTAGCTCACATCCTTTTCATTATACCGGTTCAAGAAAGATATCTGCATTGACACACAGTTATCTGTGAAAGAAATGAAAGATGGGTTGGCCAAGACATATCTCATTGTCCGAGAATGTGGGTTCCTGAACACCGGGAAGTTAACATAGAGGGGTTCATCTTAGCACCCAATGGGGTGCATGCCAGCAGGGGTCATTTGCTCCAGGTCATAGTCTACACGTAGTCTACACAGTGTCTTTCCCGAAAACAGCAAATCTGATCACGTCAGCCTCTGCTTAAATAACTCACTTGACCTTAGACTTAAGTTAAAAATTGTACAAGCATGGTAGGCAATAAAGTCCCTTCTCTGCCCAACCAGTCTCTGGAAAACTCCAAATTTGCTTCTTCCTCTTACCTCTGCACACATACTGTGACTTTCTCCCATTTTTCTGCTTGGCCAACCTCTTCTCATCCTTCAGGACCCTCCTTCAATGTCCTCTCTCCTGTAAAGGCGCCCAGATACCTCCACCTCCGCTCGTCTCAGTGGTGTTAGCTGCCCTTTACGTAGAGTTTTTGTTACACGCTGGCCATCCCTCTACTGTGGCACGTATCACGCCATGTTGCAAATTATCTTCATGTCTACCTCCTCCATTAGACTCTGAACGTCTGAAGCACAGGCGCCATTTTTATCCCTTTTTTTTTTTCTCTAGAGTGGGAATGACAAACTCGATACCTTGGGGGTAGGCAGGAGCATAAATGAGTGACATTCTTAGTGTGTTATTGGGCTGACAGTAGGGTATGGTGGTGACTGGCAAACGAGAATGTGTGCTCTGCTGTACTACACCCGGAAATGTCTGCTGAGGGAATGCTGGACCGTGCTGCTAGATCTTTCAGTTTTCAGGAGAAGTCAGATACCTGGATATTAATCTGAGATGTACTAACTTTTAAGCATTGCTTCAATAAATAAATATATCACATAGACCAAACCCAGCCTACCTGCAGGCCAGCAGTCTGTGGTCTTTGCGCCTTGGGCTCAGTGCAGTGTCTGGCACACAGTCACATCTGGACCCTCCTAGCTGAGTCCTGAGTCCCTGAAGTGTGGTTTCTGTTGGATTCTTTTAATGTCCATGTGGGAGGCCTATTAGGAAGCTCTGTGTGACTCTGAATTCTGTGCCTGGATTTTAGTTTCCCCACAGTGTCTTGAAGAGAGGACCATGGTTGTGTTTTTGCTCCTTGTTAGCTATTGCTTCTGAAGATGGCTGCTGAATCAATGTGAGAGAACCATATTTAATGGAAAAAAAATTGTGTTAATTTAGTGGACAGATGCTGCCTTTTCTTATATTATTTATGTGTTGATATTATATAATAGAATTTTACATTATCCTATTAAATGCTTGGGGGAGAGTGAATTAAATGTAATATTTTAATTTAGCAAAGAGTGCTTCTTAAATGTGGAGCACTAGCCTTTCCCTGCCCCAGGGGAAGACCTACCCAGCACTGTGAGTAAATGCTGACCTTTCTTTAAGGAACTGCCTTGCATTGAAAAGTTCATTTCCTTGCTGAGTCTTAGGAACCAACCTCCTGTCCTCGAAGGTTTTCTAATTTTTTGCCACTGCCCTAGGGCCAAAACCTCTGAAGTACTATGTTACCATTGTCAGATAACAAACATTTCATCCTGGCCTGAGCTTGAGTGCTGGATGTTTTAAATTACCGGAACATTTGGGGAAAACCACCACATTATGTTAAGAACATTTTACAGGTATTCCAGATACTCTGTAAAAATATATTTTGTAGACCCAAGCCGCCACACCTTTTTAAGAACAGATTGATGGCTCAACAGGTGAGAATTCACGAATGCCTCGGTTACGCGGGGTTTCCTTGGTTACTATGCCGTGCCAGTAAAGCTGGGGTGGTTTGAGTTATCATGGGAGTTATTTAAGTTCTCTTCTTTTAAAGAAATGGCTTTTTGTGGTCTGTTACAAAGGAGATTCTATCAATCAAACATTCTCTTAAAGGACTCTTAAGTACTTCCCAAAAAACCCAAACCCGTTGCTGTCGAGTCAATTCCGACTCATAGGGACCCTACAGGACAGAGTAGAACTGCCTCATAGGGTTTCTAAGGAATGCCTGGTGGATTTGAACTGCTGACTTTTTGGTTAGCAGCGGAGCTCTTAATCACTGTGCCACCAGGGCTCCCTTAAGTACTTAGGCGCCGTATTTCACAACATAATTTTCTCTGTTACACATCCTTTTATGTTCTCTCCAGCTTTGAAAAGGAAATGTCCTGTTTGTCCTTGGGTTTGTGGCAGTGGTTGGAACCCATGTAGGGCCAGGGGTGTGAATGAGTCTGCCATCTGGGGGTAGAATGAAGACGGTCCACAGCTGTTAGCTTCTCCTTATCATCCCTGACCCTTCCTATCTCCAACTCTTGTTGAGAAGCACAAGACAGTGTCGTTTCTTAAGAGTTTTCAGAGAAGTCTCAGGTCAAATTCCAGCTCCTCCAAAAAATTCCTTGGTTACCTCTTAGACCTTACAGTTTCCAGGGACCTAGTGCTATTGGAAATTTTGTTTTTGGTTTATCTTCCTTGCCATACCCAGGACGGTCATCACGTTCCACTTTGGTATCCCCACTGTGCCTAGCTCTTAACAGGTGTTCAGTGAACGTTTGTGGATTGGAGGAACAGGAAGACAGAAGTGGAGTTGCCCTCACAGTTCCTGGCAATCTCTAAGACCAGGCATTAGTCTGTTTTGAGGTCTCTTTTATGAATTAAAATGTTTTGTTTTTTCACGAAAATGAGCTGTCTGTTGGGAACAGTATCATAATATTAGCGTTGATCTTGGAAGGACTAATTTTGCATCTAAAGCTGCAGGTATTTTGAGGATGATGAAAGAGTCACTTTCATTTCTGTACTGGGTCATGTGACTTCTGGGCCATTAGGCACTTTCAGGGTGCCCAACAGGTAGCCGTTACATAATAAGTATTTCTTAAATGAATGGATGAGGGCGAAGAGGAGGGAGGATGAAGGTATATGAGATACATTTGCTGTTCTTCTCCATCTGTATTGCTTTGAAATATAGTATTTATTCATTTATTTACTGAGCAGTTGCCTTGTGCAGCGTATTGTGCTAACTTCTGTGAAGGCTATGAATGAAGATCAGATAGAATCTGCCCTTCTGGAGACGGAGGGAAGAGAAGTCATAGTCAGGCTATTGAGCAGGACAGAGTAAATGCCCCAAGCAAGGCAGAGACTTGTAGGAGGTGGGTTCTCCTCAGGAGGAGGGCTGGTGGCAATCAGCAAAGATTTCACGAAGGGTGCAGTCTATGAGTTGGACTGTGAAAGGTAAGTTGTATTT